CAAACAGGTAGCTTTCAGTACTTTTGTAAAGGAGAATAACATTGTAGCTGATATTATATTGAAAACATCACAAATACTTGGAAAGAAAGGTAAACCATTTAATCATGTAGAAATAATAAAAGAATGCACTGTGGAAGCAGGGAACTGTTTAGATTCAGAAAAAGCAGACCATTACTGCTTTTGACATTGAACAGAGACAGCATGAATTAGCTCAAACTTCATTTCATATTAAAAAACAACTTCATTTAATATTAAAAAATGAAGATATATATTTTTCAATAGCTTTAGATGAAAGTACTGATAAAACACACTTGGTTCAAGTATATTTTATTTGTGCCTATAACTAAAGATCTTCACTGTTATGAGGAACTACTTGCATTGACTGGTTGGCACTTCTTGAACTAATATTTTTAATACCTTCAAGAAAAATCAGTATTGCTCCATTCTATATTGCTCTAGCAAAATTATTTTACATTATATTATGGATAAAGTTATGTCAATTGTTAACTTAAGTTTTAACAAAAAGTTAAGTTTTGCAGTGCACCATCATGAATTCAACATGTTTATATTAAATAATCAAACATACAGTGTTGATCTACCCTATCGTTGCAGAGTTTTTTGGTATAAAGTAGGCAAATTCCCAATAAAATTTTAACTTTATGAAAAATTTAGCATTCAAGAAGCTACGAAAACCTTATGAATTACAAAGCATACAGAAATTTGTAAATACACTGCGTTTTTGTCAGATATAATGCCAAAACAAAATGATTTAAATATTTCCCTGCAAAGTAAAACAAAACATGTATATGATACGTAGCAAAAAATTCAAGTCTTTTAAAAGATGTTAACCTATTTCATAATTTTACTCTCTATCTTGGATGTATCTGAATAACAATTCCCATTACATTCAAAAATCTTAAATAAGCAAAAATTTATCAAAGTTTCTGGCTTTATATTTCAAAAATATTTACATTGAAGAATACATGGAGAGATTTCCAGATTCTGAGGAGCATACTATTATGATGAAACTAGCTTTTGAATAATGTCTGATCAATGTTTCAAAAGAACTCATGGAACTGGAAACGAGTTTGGAAAAACATTATTAAATGTCTTTTTGATACAAAAGAGTAGCAATAAAATATGGAAAAATGCAGCTGAACATCTAAACTTGCATGAAATACCCATTGTTTGCTTTTGTGCTTAAGAAGTGCTGTTGCAGATCACATTTCATATATGAAAAGAAATAAAAATCATTTAAGATAACATACAATTCATTTAGAAGATAAACTACTGCTGTGAAGCTGGAACCAAATACTCCCCCCCCCCCCCCAAAAAAAAACCATTACACTAATTAATACAATTAAATTAAATTATGTATTTTATAAAAGTAAACTTATAACAATCACCTCATGTTTTCACATCCTTATGTGCAAATCACATACACTTTTTTTATTATTATTTTGTAGTAATGCAATACGTATTTGAAAAATAATTTAATAATATTTGCAGAACAATAATACTCAAGATTCTGTCAACTCATGCTGCCTTTTGCCCAGCTGTTGAAGTTTAATGCAGCCAACAAGGGTAAAAATGTTCCCCACCCCTGCCCTATACTCTGGGTCTTTCCTGCCCCAATGCATTTTAAGTCAGTACTTTTACATCTTTTCTTCCTTGAATGCAATTAAAAACTGCAATGATGCATTATGCATTTTTATGCAAAACAGAATACTTTGTAAATTAGTTTATATATATATTAACACAGCAAAAACAGTAATCCATATTAAAATGAGGACACAACTACAATCAGGTTTTGATAAGCACCTATGGATACAAGGGCTATTGCCTAGGAAGCACCTATGCCAACTTTTAACAATACAATCTATTGTCCTACACTTTAGGGATTTCCAAAAGTATTCTTCTATTTTTTCCTATTTTAAGTGAATTTTTTTTCATTTTTTAAACCAGTATTCCTTTTTCTTGATGATAAAGCAGCTTAAACTTAGTATTTCAACTTCATTAAATTGGATGAGAAACACACTAACGCCAATATAAAAATTATACAAAAAAAGTAACCTTACGTTGTCACATAATTTGAATAAAACTCACTCCATTTTAAAAGCATTCAGATATAGGTCCCACTTTTTCAGGAAAAGAAAATTTTTTCCAATGTTGAGTTCCTACTCTTAAACACAACCTGGCTAACTCAGGTGTGCTCACATTCACCAAAATAATTTAATCATACATTTGATTCTTTAAACTTGGGGTGAATTTCAGAGACAATCTGAAATAAAATATAATTACCTTCTGATTATATGCAAATATCAAATGCAGATGTATAAATTTATTTAATTACACAAACACAAGTCTTGAGATTTTATGATATTTGATAAAATTGCTAAGGGCATTTAAATTTGTGATCTGAGATTAAATCAATATCACATCAACTTACAAACATTTCGAGGGATTTTTCAAGAATACATCACAATGTATTTAGCATGAATATCAGATAACCAACGAAAAAATACTTACATAGCAACTGATACTGATGCCAAGGTAACCTTGGTTAGTCAAGCCTTTCGTCCATTTTGGTAAAACAAACTTTGCAAAGACCATCATTCCAATTCATGATGGGTTTACATGCACATCCAAATCTTGGAAAAGTTTGACCAATGCTTTCCACCAATAGTAAAGAAATCATACAGCTGCCTTAAAAATGATCAGGCTTCCCTTGAATTAATTTCTTATACTTTTTTTTTTTTTTTTTTTTGTGTGTGTGTGTGTGTGTGTGTATGTGTGTGTGTGTATTTGAATTCATGTTTGCACTTCCATGTTTTTTCTCTACTGACGTATTAGTACAATGAATGGAAATTAAATCACTTCCAACTGTTTGGCAACATTCAATTATTTTAGAAAAAAAAGAATGGACAGCTTGTGTTTCATTATTTGATGAATCCTTAAGATCCATAATGAAATTAACAGACGTGAAACATATTGAAGCAAAGAAAAGAAGACTGAACACAAAATTAAAAGCATGCAGCAAAGGTTGTGACAAATGTAATAAAATACTTCCTTTAACTTGATTCTACTCAAAGGAGAATAGAACAGGAAATAAAAAACACATGAAACATGATGATGCAAACAAAACAAGACAACACAAGATTAAGAGAAGACAGCAGGAGTTGTAACAACATACTAGTTTTCATTTGATTATAATCAGAGCAGAATACCAAGCTTTTAAATACCTGTAATGCTAATGGCACTGCCTTTTATAACTAAATAAATTTAATTTGCAAAAACAAGGCGCAGATACTACAGGCAGGTAGACATTTATAGGTAAACTATTGCCAAGTTTCCAGTAATGGTAAATGGGTAAATACCGAAAAAGTTCTGGTATTTTTTTAAAGTTATAATATTTAATATAGTTGATAAAAAAAGACTGACAAGTAAAATGATAATTTCAGAGCTGAAAAGAAGCAGCCTACAAAAACTTTGTTAACAGAGAAAAAAAGATGCCATAAGATTATAAAGCTGACACGGAAATGGGCAACTTCAGCCACTTATGCTCATAAGTCACATACGCTTAAATTTGGGCAAAACACAGCGCAGATAGCCCAAAAAATAAGTCCATGCTTTCTTAAGGAGTTTGAGCTACCATTCTGCCACTTGAAAATGACTTCGAAAATGTCTCTTTGCTGACAAGTCATTTAAAGATGTAGTAAGTGATGGATAACCACTTGTCACTCATGACATCTATTTGAAAGCTGCATAAAAGAGCACATTAATCTGCCCGTGGCCATTAGGTGCTGATACAACTTCTGTATCAATGATGAAACAAAGGATTCATTTGCATTTCACTTCTTGAAGCAAGGTAAGCAAATTTATACCACACAAAGTGACACCTTCAAACAAGATTGTTTCCTTCTGATTGACTTCTAACTGCAAAATATAGCCATTTCTTGGTAGTTTATTACACAAAAAATAAAATGAATTTCATACAGCAAGACTATCAAACCTTTCTCACAGTGTAATGTTCTTTTTTCTGTGAGCAATATCACAATTTATTAATGTGTGGGGGGAATATAAAATAATAAACTAATAATTTTACAGATCAATACCTTGTGATCAACTAAAATACATACATTGCAATCAACTTTTAACTAGCAATTAATGGGCTGGTGGTTCCATTACACAACAACCTTAAGGAAGCTGATAATATACAACAAACCTCAAGGATCCACCAGGTAAAGATTTACTTATATATATGGGGATATAAAACTAGAATAGCTCTGAATGGAATTACTACTGTTTGGTCATTCTGGTTATATGAATCACCTGGGGAAGAAAACTTTTCTATTAAATTGTTCTGCCAGAACACTATTTGCAAATGTCTACTGAGTCCAACTGCACCAGTGGGTGAATAAGTCAACTGTGGAGGGGTAGTAAATAAAACAATAAATATTATGAACCTTAAAAGCCTTCTCATCCTATATGTTAATGCAAGATTTCACATTTCAAGTATGACTGTGACAGCACTTAAATTTTTTAACAACAGTTTCTTACGCAACTTTTTTCATTCTGCTGATACTATTCCTACGAATTATCTCATGTTTTCATGCCTAGACAATTATGTGAGAAATGAAAATCTCAGAAACAGAGAAGCAACTGAAAAGTAATCTAAGGCTTTTATTTCAACAAAAAAATTGTTACACTTATTTCACCTTGGCAAAAACTCATTATACATCAAGATAAGCATTTTGAAGAATTAGCAGATTAATTTTCCTTTTGGTATGCTTGTTTTCTATTGCTTAAAAAACCAAAACCTTTATGTTCACAAAATAACTACATAACCTTACAAAACTATTAAAATAAGTTATTGTAAAACATCCAGTTACCGAATTACACACAAGCACTAATGCAATACTTACCAAATTTTAGTACAGCTGCAAAGGGATTTTACAGGATATTAAAGCCTTAAACCTACTACACACAAATATACCCACCATTATTGGTTGGTTAGGTTGAATGATTGGAAAATGAGCCTCAAATTCATCATCAGTTTCTGGAGGAGGTGGACGAGGAGGAGGATTTTCTTCTGAATTGGGTAGAGGAGGACGTGGAGGTGCCTCATCTATATTAATAGAAAGTTGTATAAATAATCTACAGAGATAATATATTCCCAAATGCATAATATTTCCAAAAATCTGGAAAAGGACATTTGAAAAAGGTTTTAAAAATATTTATATTTTGAAACATAAAACATGCACTCCCTTCTTGATTTGTCCACTAGAATTTTTAAGTGCATACTCTCCAGAGTTCAGGGGGGGGAGGTACAGATTTAACATTTATTTTGTTACCTAGCTTAGTACGTAAGTTTCAAATTTTTTCTCATTACTGGACAGAAAAAGATCATAGGTAACACAAAATAAATCTTTATCTTTTTCGGAAATACCAACATTTGAATTACAAAACACATCAGAACAAAAAATTAGATTTTTCTCACATCTTTTCACTATGTTTAATTCTTTGGCACATTAATGCTGCATGCCATTAATGGCAAATTCAAGTCATTCAAGTCATTTGTCAAAATGGCAAATGACTTGAATAGTTCCCTATTTCAATACTATGATTATTGATTACTTCAATACTATGAGCTTCTGACATTCTCTACTTTTTCAAAATTAGGAGAATAAACACTTTTTTTTTTTAATTTTTGAACCAAGATAGGAAACTATAAGGTCGAATAATAATTCAATAGTGTTGATGTCAAACACATAACTGTACTTGCGCATGCAGGTGGCACTGCTACAACACGTGAAATAAAAATCACTCATGTACTGTTCTATTCTTATGTCTTTTGGACATACTGGCAATAATCATAGTGTTTCTTGTTAAGATTCTGTTAAATTTCTTAATGTAAATTCATCTGCAGATAATCCTGGACTCAATATTATTATTGCAACACCACAGAAAGATCATTATAGCAGCAGAGGTATCATGGTTTGTTTGGACAGGCATCATATTGGATGACTGCACAAGACTCTACATGTGTGACAAAGACGCCTTGAATGTTTCGAGGTGCACATAGGAGATCTTTGTGTTTTATGTGCAAATTCAAAGATGCAGTTGGCTCTCAATTCCTTTTAATGGATAAGAATGTTTTGCTCACATAAGGCTTACCTTTAGTTAGTATTATTACGATTCAAACAGCCTAAACGTATTAGGAAGTTAGGATATTTGACAGATGGACTGGCCAGCCAGATCACCAGATCTAAATCCCATCAGCCTGCCTGGGATGCACATGAAAGGACAACACTAAGATTCACCAGTGGCCTCTGACCCAGGAGCTAAGAACTGCTTTGTTGCAGTAGTGGGTGCTGCTACCACAGGGACACACCATCTGTCTTGTTAACAGTATAATAACTTGCAATGCAATCAGTGAAGGCCAGATTAGCCTCATCTTGCATTGTCAGTTTTAGATATTCCTACTATCATGAGCATTGCTCATAATAATGAGGAGGCACATACACTGACATTTGGTATTAATTATGGTCTTATATTCCTCTGCAACCATATTGAATTCAATTAAATACTCTCTGTATTTTTTGAGGAATTCGAAAAAAACATATTTTATTTTCTTAATTTTGAACATGTGTATATATAAAGATTTGTATTCTCTATAATTAGCTCACATATAAATAATATTACATTTCTTACATTTTTCTTAAGTTTAAGTTTTGTTTTAAAAAGAGCTACTGGTACTTTTCCGTTTTGATTGCGCAGGTGATAAAGTGGCAAATAATGGTACAACTGATGCCAAACGGAATAAATATCCTTGCTGATAACCTTTTACTCCTTCCTCATTTTCAAAACAAGTCGCAGCCATTTCTTATCAGATTGATTGTTTCTCAATACTGGCATACAATTACATAGAACTTTTGCAAGATAGTTCAATTTTATGGCCTAAGGCCATTAGTGGGTGGTAATTAAGTCAATTAGAATGCAATCATACCGCTCACCCGACTGTCAAAAATATAGAAAATGCAAAGGGTTAAATTCATCAATTCTAATGAGAATGCACTAGGGAAGTAAAGCACTGCAGTTTTACATAATTTCTGAGTAAGCTATTCGTACAAATTATTGAAATAATTCTTGCATTTAAACTTGTATTCCAAATTAAGATTTAACTTGAAATTCTTCCTCTTCTTTAATGGCCAGACAGCCCAGGATGGGCCCTTGCCTTTTTCAGAATCGAATTCCAAGCTCTTCTATCCCTGGCCATGGACATCCAATTGGTTACTTTTAAAATTCTTGTCTCTTTTCAAACAGTCGAGTTACTTAAGTCTAGGTCTCCCTCTTTTTTGGGTCTGGCCAAGAAGATCTTTTTAGTTATAATAGAAAACACGCCAATGTGACAATCAAAATTGCAATAACAACCTTGTATTTAGCGTACGTATATTAAAACACTCAATCGATTTCAAGGATAGCTAAAAGTTTCGTTCATCAGAAGAACGAAATTATTAGAAAGGGGGGAAAAGAAGAAAAATAAAGCATCGGCAAAGGAGTCTCAGAAACATGTGGTTGTTATCAGCACTGCAAGTGGTCGTAAGCGGATTTTGAATCACAATTACAACTGCCACCTACTTTTACTGAGGCAGGCTATCTGATCAAACATATAACACATAGACTAAAACGCAAAGAAAATCAGCGAAGTCAAAAAATAGGGAGCGAGGGGCAACTGCACCTTCACACACCAAGTCTGAACCTCAAATAAAGGAAAAGCAACCTCTGTAACAGCTTTTTATACCCTCCGGTAGTACCATGCACAAGGAGGCAACGCCGTCTATCGGCAAAAATAATAACCAAGAGTTATGTTAATAGAATTTTAAAAGCTTTAGTAAGGATTGAATTGGACTTAAAATCATTCACTAAACATGCTAAATCTTTTTGAATATGAAAAGCTTCAAGAAAATCCTATTCACCAACGAAAGAAGCCTTTCGGATAATTTTTGCAGATCCAAAGTCAAAATTATGATTAAATTTCCAACTATGATACGCTATTGAAGACTTGTTAATTTTGCCTTTTCGGACATAAGATTCATGTTCCTTGATACGAAACTTTAACGCCCTTTTTGTTTGGCCAATATATCTCAAGTCACACTGACAAGATATACTATAAATTCCCCAATAATTAAAGTCAGAAACGCAATCTTTTAGAACCGTGAATTTTATTGATAGGGGAGAAACTGACTCGAAAATTGAACGCGCAAACGTGCAAATGGGACATGCGCTAACATTTATCTAAAATTGAATTTAAATTATATTACCTCCATTTAAAAATTTCTAATTCAACTGTAAATTTTTCCTCTTTTGATCATACATCTTGGTTTAGAATGGATACCATTTGTCAACGGCATAAATATGTGCTTATTTCTAAATTCCTCAAGCTCACACACCATTCGGCTAGTCCCACCCATCTAGTTAATCTTCCCACTGTAAACGCTAACCGCATCATTAATATCTCCAACAAGAATCTTTTGAAGGATCAGTTAAAAGTATTAAAATATAATTTAAACTTTTCAAAGACATCTAAACCTTCAGTTCCTCAAATCATCGCCCTTATTGAGAATGCTTTTAAATTTGCCAAAATTTCAGAAACGCAGAATGTTGGAAAATATGATTTATTGTAACCCTTTTACTGCATCATCTCTCCTCCTTGAAATGTTTATTAGGCTTAGTACTTATTTTAATGTAATATAGTAGTTACTTCTACTTCTTTCTCTTACTGCCACTGTTTGCATTGAGAACGGACTGTTTCAACCTAATTAAGATGCAAAAACAAAACGTGATGTTATGTCATCTGGAAAGCCGAATCATGCCGATAGCTGATTGGTTGCCGTGAGATGATGTCATGCCTACTTCTGGTATAAGTATCTCACGTCGCTCTGGCTCAGCCCTTCTAGTTCCTGCTTTCCTGGCACTTGGGTGTGCGGTTTCCAGCCCCTTCAGAAGGATGCGTGCAGTCCAGTGAATAAGTTCCTTGGTTCCTGTATACAAGATGATTGTTCCAGAATAAGTTCCTTGGTTCCCTAATACAAGATGATTGTTCCAGAATAAGTTCCTTGGTTCCTGACCACAAGATGATTGTTCCAGAATAAGTTCCTTGGTTCCAGAGGCTACCATGTGAGTGACTGCCATGGGTGGCATCATGTTCTTCATGATGGTGGCATTTAAAATATGTTAGCGGCGATTCCTCGTGTTCAACTAATGTAAATGGAGTTAGGCCGGTTTTAAGTGTTTTCAAGAACTTGATTTAAATTTCAGGCATTTTCTTGACCATTGATCATGGAGTTATTGAATGTGTAGCCAATTTCATTTGAGGCCGCATAATTACTGTTTAGGACATTTTGTTTGTATTGAATGCCAGTGTTTTTGGAGACCAGGTAAAAATATTATTGATGAATGATGGTTATATTATATTTTTCTAAGACTCTGATATTGTTTAAATTATTTTCTGTGTTTTCATTCTTTATTATTGTTAATAATTGGTTAAGTTTGAAACCTTTTTATGTCTTCAACGTCTGCACAACATATTATCTCAGGGAGCTTTTATTGCTACTACTGCTAAATGTTTAATTTTATAAACTTTAAACTTTGCTTTAGCATCACAGAAGGATACAATCCACCACCTAATTACTCATAACGTTAATTTTAACAACAAATCTTTGGGTTCGAATCTTAGCAAAAAGGAAAAGGAGACCTTACGTGAAATTCATTCTGATACTAATATTATTATTTCTAAAGCTGATAAGGCGGACAGATCGTTGTTATGGACAAACACACATATATTGCTGGAGTCTCTAAACTGATAAATGAAGGCCCATACTGCTCGATCCCTAAAGATCCTTCAACTTCGGACCTCACGAAAGTTAAAACAGCTATTAAATCTTCTCATATACTGCCAACGCAGTTGAAGAAATCACTTATTCCACCTATTACTAACTGCGCTAGGCTTTATGCTCTTCCAAAAGTCCACAAAACCGGTATTCCTTTTCGACCAATTGTTTCCAACATAGGTACTGCTTCATATTCTTTGGCCAAATATTTAGTTTCCAGATTTTCTCCTCTACTTGCTAACAATATTCACACTGTAAAAAATTCTGTTGAAGTCATTGATAAACTTAAAACCACTTCGTTCCATTAT